TATGTTAAGGCAATGCATGCAGGAAAGAGAATATTGAAGAGAACTTGCCTTTTTGCCCGGCTGGGATTCTTGCATTATTCCTTCCTTGCCTCCTGATTTCCTTCCCTTCTTTAGTCAACACAAATCAGCCCCATGTATACGGTGGGAGCTAGAGCTGGATTCCAGCTGAAAGGAAAGCAGGAGGGGCTATATTGGAAACAACTGCCAAGCAACCAAGGACTGGGGGCAAAATAGCCTAGGAGGAGAAGTAAAACCAGGAAAAAGTTTAAAATTAGGTGCCTGACATTTAAGGGAAAAAGTCCAAAGTTAATCAAGGATGACCGCTTTTTGCAAGATTCAAAACCTCTAAATGACAAAACTTCTAAAAAAGGAAATGATGATAGCACGGGGCACCCTGCTGATCCATCTCCCTGCCCAAATACTTCTCCATTCCCAACATCTGTGCAGCCATATGCAGCAGAGACAGACAACAGCACTCCACCCACAGGCTTTGAGAACCACAGAGCTGTGGCTGATACAGTGTCCCCCTCTCTATGAAGTAAGTACACAAACCACACCCACAGCCTTATTTTCTGAGACCATCTCTATGTAACCAGCTTCCCTAAATGCTGTGGCTGGAGAGGCTAACACTGGTCAATCGTGGGGCAATATGGCTGTTCCCACGTGGCATCCACGTCCATGCTTAGAGACTGAAGGGGACCCAGCCTTGGTACACCAGGTTTGTGGTCATTTCGCCACCTGGGATTTTTGAGGTGTACCAAGCAGACCTGGGGTCCTTGCTGCAAGGGTCTGCTCAAGCCTGACCTGTCCAGACAAGCAGAAGAGTTCTGGGCTCGCAGTCGAGGAGGGTGGTCAGTCTGTTCCAGTTTGTCTGGGACTTTCCTGGTTTGAAAACTGAAAGTTCTACAGCCAGGAAATCCCTCAGTCCCAGGCAAACTGGGATGGCTGGTCACCCTAAAGTCGACACCTAGGCTTTGGTACCTAAACATCAGTTTCTGCATCTGTAAAATTTGGGGACTGGCCAGTATAGCTTCTAATGTTACTGCAACATCTAATAGTTCATGATTCACTCTCATGCTCCCGATCTTAGCCATCTGCAGCCCAAGTCCCAAACAAACTTCACTTGATCCAAGATTGAGTTCATGTTACCTGATAAACTAATCATTATGTGTTAACAGGAGAGGATTATAGGGTTCACAGTTGAATTTTAACAATGGTTCTGGAAGGCATGTGGGTAGCTGAGTTCTAATGGTGGGAAGTTCAGCTAGGGAGATGAAGTGTGTGGCTCTGTGCCATCTGAGAGGAAATATTTTTAGACAGGCAGGTTTTGAGGCAGCCAGCCTGAGAGAATTGGTGTGATGGGCTGGTTTTAGCTGCACAGCAGGAACAGGCCACAGGCAGGGCAGTCTTGTCTGACTTGAGCCAACTTTTACATTATGACCTGAATAAAATCAGCAGTTGAAACCAGAGACTGGAGAAGAAAGGACGTAGTCTACTGATAGCAATATATATATAGTAGTCTATCAGTATATATATATATATATATATATGCACACACACACACACAGACGGTATATATATATTATATATAGTAGTCTGATAGGAGAATATATATATATACACACACATACAATATATATATTATATATAGTAGTCTGATAGGAGAATATATATACAGTAGTCTATCAGTACATATATATATACACACAGTATATATATTATATATAGTAGTTATATATATTATATAATATATATATAAAATATTGCTATCAGTAGACTACATCCTTTTTTCTCTAGTCTCTGGCTTCAACTGCTGATTTTATTCAGGTCATAGTGTGAAAGTGGATCTGGATCATATAAAATGATCCAGAATATATATATATATATATATATATATATATATATATATATATATAAAATGCATTTGTGCATTTGCTTTGAGCCCAGTCAATACAGATATGCAGATATACAGCTATGATCCGAGTAGTTAAGGGTTCAAACTCCGGAGTCACCACCTACCAACTCTGTGATATTGGAAAAGCTGTAGTTTGAGTAATACGCATTTGCTGATATTTGACCTTTTCTGATCTACACAAATAGGAATTCCACATGGTTCAACCTAAAAGCTACTCTCCCTTTTCGTTGGTTTCCTCGTGTGTGAAACGGAGATAGCCACCAGCATTTTCAGGACACTGTGAAGACCAAATGAGAAGGAGACATAAGGTGGTCAGAACAGTTACTGCCCTGCAGTCCATGTCAGTGATGTCAGCCACCACCATCCTACTGGTCAAGAGGCTTACAGGGCCATTAGACTCCATCAGGTGAACATAGGGTAGTCCTGACTCTTCTTGTCTTCCTGAGACATGCAACATGAATGAACCAAGCTGAACTGGACCTTAGCTGAACTGCAGAACTTCATTCTAATCTCAGGGTGAGGAAAGGAAAACAGGTTCATACCACAGGTTTTTCAGGTCATTCCAAGACTGAAAGTTTGTTTTTCCTCCCAATACAATCAGGTCCTAAGTATAGCAAAGAGCTTTTCATGATGGGGTTTTGCTCTAACAACATGGAACCCTTTCTTTAGCCTTACATCTGTCTGTAGTGACCACACAAGGCCGTCTTCTTCAACTAAACTATATACACACACATAAGCCTACATTGTGAAGCACATACGGAACACATGAGATAGCCTCATCATTATCAGAATACAACAAAGTTATGTTGAATTTCTTCCCTCAGTAATTAACAGGAAGCAGTTAAAAAAGAGGAAACATAAAACATATGCTGTGGTATTATCATCATAATTAAATCAAATTTATTAACAGAAGCAAATTCACTTGAGCTTTTTATAGAATTCTAGAAAACAGATCCCTTACATGTAATGAGGAAGTGCATCTTTAGGTCTTTTCATATTTTTCTTCCCTGTAACAGTCCTATGTTTGGTCTTTTCTCCTCAGGTTCATTCCCTTGATGCTAACAGAGAATATTATAATTCTTAAGTAAAATGATAGCTGGGGGAACCATGGACTCCAAGCCAGCACTTCCCCACTGTGTGGATCCCACAGATACGATGTCAGAAATCTAAAAAGAAAGAAAAGAAAATAACCTTCAACCTGGCTTGGTTTAAACTCTCTTTAAGCAGGGCTCTTTCATTCAAATGTGAGAAAATTCAGCTTTCGACATGTATTAACAAAAGATGTTTACAACAGAATACCCGGTTGTGCCTAATAATGGCTTTGCTCTTTGAATTAATCTTTTCCTGGTGACAAAGGCTAAGCTTTTGAACTTCTGGGTAAGGCTAGGCCAGGCATTTTTGCTTGGCTTGGCTCTCTTAAATGGTTAGAAAAGGGTTGGTCCGGCACCTGGTATTTTGTGGCCAGTAATTACACTACAATTGTTACTATGCATTACCGAAACTTTATTTTTTGAGCAAAAGCCAACTGTATTCTTTAAACAAACATCTTTTGAAAGCCTAATGTGCTTTGAAGTGATTTTAAAATCCACTTCATGGCCGGCTGAGGTGGCTTATGCATGTAATCCCAGCACTTTGGGAGGCTGAGGCAGGTGGATCATTTGAGGCCAGGAGTTCAAGACCAGCCTAGCAAACATGGTGAAACCCCATGTCTACTAAAAATACAAAAAACAACAACAACAACAACAACAAAAAATTAACCAGGTGTGGTGGCGCCTGCCTGTAGTCCCAGCTACTCAGGAGGCTGAGGCAGGAGAATTGCTTGAATCTGGGAGGTGGGGGTTGCAGTGAGCCGAGATAGTGCCACTGCACTCCAGCCTGGGCCACAGGGCAAGACTTCATCTCAAAAAAAAAAAAAAAAAAAAAAAAAAAAAAATCCATTTCATAAATAAGATTGTATTGAATTTCATAAATACAAGTCAGAATTTTTTTAAACAATGTTTTGCTTTAGCGTGATGTCTCTTTGCCTGTTACTTGGTCTGAGTTCCTTCAGCTAGCACAAGCTGTATGTGACCTTTTCACTGAAGCTGTCTTTTTTTTTTTTTTTTTTTTTTTTTGAGACAGAGTTTCGCTGTTGTTAGCCAGGCGGCACGATCTCGGCTCACCGCAACCTACGCCTTTTGGGTTCAAGCAATTCTCCTGCCTCATCCTCCTGAGTAGCTGGGACTACAGGTGTGCACCACCATGCCCGGCTAATTTTTGTATTTTTAGTACTGACGGGGTTTCACCTTGTTGACCAAGATGGTCTCTATCTCTTGACCTTGTGATCCACCCACCTCTGCCTCCCAAAGTGCTGGGATTACAGACGTGAGTCACCGCGCCCGGCCCTGAAGCCGTTTTAATGTTTCCTGTCCCTTCATCAATGTGGATGTACTGTACAATGACATGCCCCTTCTACTTCACCCCCAGGAAACAGATTTACTCTAGGGCGTGTGCTCATAACTGGGGCAGAGTGAGTGATAAACACTTAAATAGCCAAAAAAGTGAATAATCTTTTCCACATTTAGAAGACTAGTAATCTACGGCCAGGCTTCCATAACCGTGGGGCTTCTGAGATCAGATCTCAATTCTTTTCTTTTTTAATTGGATTAACTAGCTCACTATCATCTAACTCATAACTGAAAGCTTGATCACCAAGACTGCAGGATCAAGCCACGGGGATTGAGTTGGGTGGGTTGGGATGGTACATTTAAAGACCATTCAGGCAGGAGAGGCCCTCCACTGTGAGTTCCCAAATATATTATCAGAACTCCCATCAATGCTTCTGCTCTTCACTGTTAGTTTCAGAATAATGACACACACATACTCACCTCACAAGGACCTGATAAAGTTAAATGGGATACACAAGGGATCAAGAAATGTTTTTCTGTTTATTTTCTTAATATTCCCCTACCCCTTCCTCCCTGTCTCCATGCCCTGGAGAGCAGGCCTTTGTCCCATTGCCTCAAGGTAGGGAGATAATGTGACAGGATAAACAGCAAAACAACAACACAACTTCTGTGTGTTGTGTTTTGTGTATTAAAAAATCTCAGAGGACTAGAGACGATTTGCAATAAAGCCAAACTATTTGGAAGAAAATGGTTTGAAGTGAGTGAGTCTTTCCTAGAAGACTAGAAACAGTCTAGACTTCTAGTTTCCTAGAAGACTAGAAACTCTTCCTAAACCTCTACCGGGTAGGAAGAAAGATGTATGAAAGTGAGAGGGCAAAGGCATGGGTAGGGTAGGTCCTTCCCTACTTCTCTACTTCTGTGTCTCAGGGAGGCAGCAAGCTGGGGAGATGAATGGCTGTATGTTGTAAGCCTACAAAACTTCCCAGACCCTGGAGTGGCTCCAAGTAGCAGGGAGATGCTGGGCACAAATGGGCCATGTAAACAGGAAGGAGGCACAGGTGCATCAGTATGGGTAAAGGAAGGCCAGAAGCAACTGTGGACATCTGGGTTGGTGCCTCCTCAAACAGCTGATGTGAGGAACAAATGGATTTCCCAATACCCTGGCACAACCTGACCACCCTCCCCTGCACAGAACCTTCATCCCACCCCAAATGTAAACATATCTTTGAAGATAGAGAAGGCCGGGCACAGTGGCTCATGCCTGTAATCCGAGCACTTCAGGAGGCCGAGGTGGGCGGATCACAAGGTCAGGAGTTCTAGACTAGCCTGACCAATCTGGTGAAACCCCATCTCTACTAGAAATACAAAAATTAGCCAGGTGTGGTGGCGGTATGCACCTGTAATCCCAGCTACTCTGGAGGCTGAGGCAGGAGAATCACTTGAACCTGGGAGGCGGAGTTTGCAGTGAGCCGAGATTATGCCACTGTATTCCAGCCTGGGAGACAGAGATTCTGTCTCAAAATCAGTCAATCAATAATAAAGGTAGAGAAATACCAAAATGATGGAATTCATTGCTGACACCAACGCAAAGCGGAGGCTTAAAATATAAATTAGGTAGGTATAAAAGAATAAATATATATTTCTTACATACTGAGTTTGTATATTGAGAGCTGGGCATCCAGTTTGAGCTTCCAGGGAAGAAAATGTGGCATAGCAGAGAGACCGCTAACCTCAGAATGAAAGAAGAAAAGCTCTATCACTTAGTAGTGTAAACTAAAAATAAATCCCAAGACCCCATTGGCCAAGGGGACCCCAGAAAAAAATTTAAAGACTTAGTTCCCGTCTATAATGGGAAGTCAGACATGCCTAATTATATTCCCCGAGTCTTTTATGATTTAGACACAACTGAGCAGCATTAATGTTCCAACAGAGATGACAGGGCTCACAGAACATATTCTTTGTGGCAATAAGATACCAAATTATAATCAAGACCTAAGGCCATTCCAGGCCAGGGGAAGTCATGTACTCCTACACCTAAGGAATAAACTATGCTCTAACTGCCATAAGGGTTTTCTTTTTCTCCAGCAGCTAAACAAACACTGGCTTCAAGATAATCAATATTTAAATCAGGCATCCCCAAACTATGGCCCGGCCTGCGGGCCGCATGCGGCCCCCTGAGGCCATTTATCTGGCCCCCCGCCACACTTCAGGAAGGGGCACCTCTTTCATTGGTGGTCAGTGAGAGGAGCACAGTATGTGGCGGCCCTCCAACGGTCTGAGGGACAGTGAACCGGCCTCCTGTGTAAAAAGTTTGGGGACGCCTGATTTAAACAATTACAACTCATCCAGCTCATAGACTTTGCCCAGTGGAACCCTGTTCCACCAGCCGTAACTACAGCTTTTTGGATGAGAGACTAATTTCAGTAACTTTTTCCTGATAAGACCACCCACCATGAACTGGTTCTGACTAATTTACAGAGTTTGTGTACTTGTAAGCTATTGTGTCCTGAAAAGACCTTTTGATGTATAGGGCCTAACTGTAATACATTGAAATGCTAAGTCTCCCTCCCAAAGTAAACATGGATCATGTGTTACACGTATGTTTGTTCAATATAGATGTGTTAGGACCACCTTCATGAATATTCATAGTTCCTCCTGTAACCTGCTGAATGTGTATGTTTAGTCAGCCTGTTCAGCATAGAGCTCCTATCCCAACCCCTCTGCCTTCAAAGCGCTTGTCTCTGGGCTTCTGCTGGAGGCTGTGCTTCCCAGCCTGTGGGATAGCCACCTTAAAGGCTATAACCCTTTATAAGAAAGAAAGTATCCTCTTTCTTTGTCTAAATTTATAAATTGTGTGTGTGTTTAAGTTAACAGTAGTGTGTAACTTTGGACAAGCCATGTAATTGCTCTGGGTCTCAGAATTTCCATCCATGAAGTGGATGATAAAACCTGTCCTTACCACTTCTAGTCCTGTTGTGCGGAATGGGATGCTGCATGTGGATGTCACAAAATACAGTGGTAGGCAACAAGGCAGTCTACATAATACCAAATGCTACACATAATCAGAAGAAAAATATTAGATAATAATTCCAACATGTTGAAACTTGTAGCAAAGACTGGCTAGATACTTGTCAATTTCATTTTATCTTCCTGGCATACAAGGAGACCTTTTCCAGCTTCCCTTGCAGTTAGGATGGGGCCTCGTGATTGGGTTCTTGGCAGAAGTGACAGCAGTGCTTGGAGACCTACCACAGATCCTGTGGTGTGGTCTCATACATACTCTCTTCTCCCTCTCTGGCAACTGTTGAGGCCAAATGCTGAAGATGATGGCATTTTAAGATGAAAGGAGTCTGAATCTCCAAGTCACCACTTAGAGATGTTGCCCAGGAGAGCCCCTGCATTAGATTATGACGTGTAATATAAACTTTTATTTTGGGATTTAATGCAGCCTATGTAGCCTAGCCTAATACTGTGTTATAATAAAAAGATAATAAAATGTGTTATTATGACAGAATACATATATTCATGTATGTATCCGTATAAATATATATGAGATGTCTTGAGGCGTGAAGGAGTGGCTCGGTCAAAACCTTTCCTTCCATATTATGAAGAATATAAAGTTTAATGTGTGCTGTTCTTGGGCAAAGATGTCACAGGCACAAGTTGTCATGATACTCAAGTCTGTATCTGGCGTGCTCAGTGGAAGCACAGTTACCTAGAAAGCTGGGGGAAATCTCCCACCTGGAGTTGACAGACACCCAGGCCCTCTGCTCTACTTTTTTTTTTTTTTTTTGAGACGGAGTTTCGCTCTTGTTACCCAGGCTGGAGTGCAATGGCGCGATCTCGGCTCACTGCAACCTCTGCCTCCTGGGTTCAGGCAATTCTCCTGCCTCAGCCTCCTGAGTAGCTGGGATTACAGGCACGCGCCACCACGCCCAGCTAATTTTTTGCATTTTTAGTAGAGACGGGGTTTCACCATGTTGACCAGGATGGTCTCGATCTCTTGACCTCGTGATCCACCCGCCTCGGCCTCCCAAAGTGCTGGGATTACAGGCTTGAGCCACCGCGCCCGGCCCTCTGCTCTACTTCATCACAGCTGCTGAGGTTTTACTTTGCATGATCTGCTGCACCAGTCTTAGCTTGGAGACAGCCCTCTTCTTCCTCATCTCAAACTCTCCATGGACATTCAGCATTCTAACAGGAAGGACCCAGGAGATGCTCTTGGATCCAGGCAATAAAAGAAACCTGTAAACCTGTTCCTTAGGGAACACAGCTATTACAAAACATCTCAAAGCAGCAGGTTTTGCATATTTGATTATCCCTATGTCTATTCCCTAAACAGTTTGAATATGTACATGTTTTCCGCCTAATTTCTGCTAAAGCCATCGGAACATACTCAGAGACTGAAACCTCACTGCAGCCCTGGAGGCTGCCCAAGTGCAGATAGCAGGACCAGTGGTGCTTTCCTTAAAAACTACACTCTCTTTGTCTAAGACTGGCAAAACAGCCTAGTTATCTTTGAGCTCTTGGGCTTCAAATTGCCTGTGCTGCCTGCCTGGTCACCACCCCTCTCTAGATAAGGCTTTATTCTAATTCCTTTAAACCAATAGGACAGATCCCTAGGGAGGTCTGGGTACCTTATTCCTCCATTCAACAATGACTACCCTCCTTTGGACCAGTAGCTGGCTGTGATCCATGGCAGAGAATCCTGCTCAATGGGCCTGCAAACTAGGCCTATAACCTGGCCATTGGTTATACAGAGCAAATGAGGGGTCATGAATACAATGGGAGATGTGGCTTGGTGCGGTGAGTCATGCCTATAATTCCAACACTTTGGGAGGCTGAGGTAGGAGGACTGCTTGAGCCCAGGAGTTCTATACCAGCCTGGGCAACATAGGGAGACCCTTCTATGTCCCAGGGAGAAGACTTGGAAATAATTGGTCACCAGCTTTAATGACCACTATACCTGCTTGCCCTTTCCTGCCTCCTTCTGGTTTTGTTTTTGTTTTTGTTTCGAGTCTTGCTCTGTTGCCCAGACTGGAGTGCAGTGGCATGATCTTGGCTCACTGCAACCTCTGCCTATTGGATTCAAGTGATTCTCCAGCCTCAACCTCCTGAATAGCTGGGATTATAGATGCGTACCACCATGCCCAGCTAATTTTTGTATTTTAGTAGAGATGAGATTTTACCATGTTGGTCAGGCTGGTCTTGAACTCCTGACCTCAAGTAATTCACCCACCTCCACCTCTCAAAGTGCTGGGATTACATGCATGAGCCACTGCACCCAGGCTTCATCTGGGTTTATAGTCTCTTTCTGGTGACATTCAACTCTAGCACCTAATCCTAGCACATTTATTGTCAATAGACTTTCATGCCAAGACTTTTTCATGCCAAGAGCAGCATTGGTAGTAAGTTGGACACGGGACACCAAAGACAGAATCAGCTTCTTCATCAGTGATATCAATTCATTTATTGATTAATCAGCAGATTAATCTATTAGACAAATGCTGACTGAAACTCTGTTGTAATGGAGATGTGCTATGTGATATAATACGACCTTCATTACTAAATATATAAACCCAGGAAGAAAGAGTGAACTGATAATATTAAGCCTTTACAATGCTATTTGTGTAGATCTCATTTCTTCTACTAAATTATTTTGTAGGCAACTTGATATTTTCTCTCCTGCATCTTTTCAATACTCACTAAAGACTGAATTTATTGGCTTAAGGTAAGAAACATTATTAAGTAATCAAACTAATGAGCTTATACCTGCTTAGCCAAGGAGCATTTTTCACCCATGCCTCTTGGTCCAGATGTAGGGTTTGGGAAAGGGAAAAGACTTAAAACTGGAAAGCTGTGATGTCCTCACATATATGAGTAGTCCCTGCAGCTTGACTTTATGCCATAAGTGTGCCATTAGCCATTCCCAATGAAAGTGGCTGTTTTAGAAGTTATAAGTTGCAGTGGTCTCCATTTATCTGGGGAGCTTTACAAAACCCGTGACCCTAGCTGGGCGCCATGGCTCATGCCTGTAATCCCAGCACTTTGGGAGGCCAAGGTTGGTGGATCACGAGGCCAAGAGATTGAGACCATCCTGACCAACATGGTGAAACCCCGTCTCTACTAAGAATACAAAAATTAGCTGGGTGTGGTGGTGCGCGCCTTTAGTCCCAGCTATTCAGGAGGCGGAGGGAGGAGAATGGTCTGAACCTGGGAGGTGGAGGTTGCAGTAAGCTAAGATTGCACCACTGTACTTCAGGCTGGCGGCAGAGCAAGACTCTATCTCAAAACAAACAAACAAATAAACAACTAATGACCAGGCTACATCCAAACCAATTTAATCATAATCTCGGGTTGGGGTGAGACTCAGGCGTCAGTGTTTTTTAAATGTTTGCCAGGTGAAGCCATTAGCCTAGGACTATGGTTCTCAAATTTTAACAGGTATCAGAATTGCTTGAAGGGCTCATTAAAACACAGATGGGCCAGGCATATAACTCACACCTGTCATCCCAGCACTTTGGGAGGCTGAGGCAGGAGGATTGCTTGAAGACAGGAGTCAGAGACCAGCCTGGACAACATAGT